AAAAAAAAAGACGAACCCCTTTTTATGAGGTTTTTGCATCGACTTCTGTCTAGATAAAATTAAACCGACCACCACCACTACCTAAAAGGAACCCCCTTTTTCAAAGTTTTTCCCAAATTGCTGACAACAACAGGCTAAACGCCCAGCTTGTTGTAGAGGCATGGTATCAGGTGCAGGACAACTCTCCGCAATTCAACAGCTCGAAGCTCGGAGTGACGACACACCAGGCCCACTTGGACCTTTCCTAGACGGAGACCCCTAAGGGCTTATAGCCCGAAGTCCTATCGCAAGTCGTATCCCTTCCACACCTACCAGCTTGCCACTACAAGATTGGATTCTGCCCTACAGCTCCAATCTCAACTGGGTGTATTCACTGTATTGCAGGCCTACTCTATGCATCTTTGTCCCTCTCTCATTGATCAGCAGATCCCTAACTGATCCCCCATTGGTCGGGAGTATAGGGCCCATCTCCCTCCTACACGAGGGCCTGCTAATGTACTATCCTACCTACTAATCGGGAGACAGGTTCAGTACAGTCCCAACCAAGCCCTACTAGGTTGGGACCCCATTTTTGCCCAAACTGCTGGTGACCACACTAGGCTTGGATTCGGCGCATTTGGCCCATCTCGATCATTTGCCCCATCCGGCCAATTCAGCCTCCTCGGCATACTGTCTGGGATGCCCAATCACTGACTTCCATGCATGCCTTCTTCACCACGTCTCCACAAAACTTTTTAACTGCAGCTCAAACCATTTCACGAATCTTGAGCTACTGGACTCATCTAGATCCGAACTGCAGTTAAAAACTGTTTAACCAGTAGATAGCAATGTCATTGCACGCTTTCCCATGTTCCTTGATTCAGATCCGAACACGAACACACTTCGTGGCTTCGCCCTATACAACCATAGAGAGAATTAGGGCCTCACTCCACTATGCAACACTCTACATGCATTTGGCTGCTTCATGGACCCGATGCATTCAACATTTTGGAGTCGTGCGAATGCACTTGGTCCTGAATGCATCCAAATGCATGTAGAGTGTTGCGTAGTGGAGCGATCCCCTTGGAGTCAATGTGCGATCGTTCTCATCCATTTAATAGATATGAGGTTGAATCAACCACACATACTGCACACACACACCCACACGCACCCACACCCACACCCACACCCACACACACTCACACTCACACTCATGCACACACACCCCCCCACACACACACATACACTCATGCACACACACCCACACACCCACACACACACACACACACACACAC